AGACACCCTTTTGAATTTTTCACTCAGACAACAGGCAACTTAAGGATTTGAATAAAGGCACATCTCAAACTTTGGAAGCGTTGCAGAACAACCACTGAGAACCATTTGTTTGACGGTTTGGAACCTGTACATGTTGGGTCTCATAGATTTGTTAGACCAGCAGTGTGGTTCCAGGGTAAGTGAACAGATATTTTGTTGTCAGTGTTTTGCAAGTCCACATATATATTATATATATATGTGGATCATAGCTGAGTCTGACAGGGTCTAAGAGATTCTAGAAGTAATCCCGAGACGCGCAAATCCCTGACCATGACTACAGTCTGTTGCCACCATTGCCTCTGAAGCTGTCAAGCACTGAGTGGTGCAAAAACCACAAGTCCCGTCAACCAGGACAAATGCCTAGCGGGTGAGAGCCCCCTCATTTCTGTTCATTTTTTGACTGATTGTAACATATTGTCACAGAATATTGGTCACCTGAACGATGTCCATTGCCAATTGGTGCTGAAAAAGCTGAGAATTGTGATCTTTGTTCTTTACATCATGATCGACTCATGGTGTTTGTATGCTTTGGATTTTGACTGAGGCACACTGACTAGCGTCTAGCGTATCTAGGCTCGGTGCTGATTGTACCAATTCTCATTGCTCAAAGCCCCTCACAACACCCTCAGCGTCCCAGCCCACGCCTCTCTCTGACCCTGGATTCTGGCGCATCAGGATCAGTCCCAGCACGAATCGCGTCTTCCATGTGAAGGCTCTGGCGCTCGGTCGAAGCGGCGATGAACACGGATTCGGATTTGCAAGAGTCGTTCAGCAAGAAAACGATGGTCTTTATTTTGAACGTGTGTTTGTTCTATCGGCAAAGAAGAGGGTTGTCATAAATCAAAGACAACTTCTTCTTGTTGAACGACCAAGAACTCGTTGGAAGGGTTTGCTTTTTAAAGGTTGTTTTTAGTATATCCAAATAATTCCAAATCCAAAGCGTTTCCTAAACGGATGTGGAAGCACATTCCGTACAATCCGGATGACGTTGAGATGCTACTCAGCTACTCATCCTCAATGACAGGAAAGGCTCAAAGACAATAACATACGAACTACGAACAGCACCTATTAGAAAAAAAAACACAAACAAAAGCTTTCTGACCTTATGTGTGAGGTTCATGAGTTAAATAAATACCGCCCATTGGTTTCCTGTCATTACATGAATGCGTTTTCAGTCGCTTCAACCCAAAAACAATGAAGAACACGAGAATCCTCGGGCTCCACGCCGTCCTCGTCCGCTCCACCCCGCTCCAACGTCTCGCTCTGGCGAGGCCTCGAACGAGGCGGACACCAACCTCGATGTGGAGGCCGGGGGAGACCGGCGGCTGACGGTCAATGTGGTCGTCATCGGTTTCAAGTGGAGACTATCCCAAGCACTCCATGTACGAACCACAAGGAAGGGGTGATGAGGCACCCCTTCACCTCTAAGGTGCTTATAATATGATACCTTTTGTAAAATTGTAGAGAGTCCTGCATGGTACTTGTATTGCACATTCACCTACACTCGGGGGAAGTTGGAAAGGAGTACATGCAGGCATATCTTCCAATCCCATCCATGGAGTCGTTCGGTCGCACCTCGTGAGATTTCGGAACGTCGGGGACCTCACGGAAGTGCGATTCGGAAGAGAAGGAAGACACGACCGCGGATCCGTTGTGTGAGGGGATGCATGACGCGGATGAGGGACGCTTTACAAGGACTGGCATAGTTGGCGATCAGTTGAGGTGTTTTGGGGTCATGAAAGGTAGGCCTTGGAAGAGACCAACACAGAGCCCTTTAAACCACTGGTGCAGCTGGAGGTTCCGCTAAGCTAGTCTTCCAGTGAGGTCCATTCCATCCAATTCCATGTGGTGCAGCTGGATTCAGGGTCTGCTGCAGATGTGTGTTGAGAGGTCACTTGTAGTGATAGTTGCTTGACCTATGCAATCAGCACGCTACGTGAAGATTGTGTATTAATTCATGTTATTCTTGTTGGGGTGTTTGGCAATGCGTTTGTCATGTATGTGTGCTGCCAGACTATGCGATCAACGTCTGGCTGCGGGCTCCGCATTCTGGCGTCCACTTTTGTTTGTTGATGATCCTTTTGGTGCCATCACTGGCAAACTTTTGTGATGGCGGACTCTTCTATGAGGATTCTAGTGGTGCAAAGAAGAAAGAAAGGTCTCGTCTCGGGGTATCAGAGGAACGACTGGTGTTTGGGTTGCAGTCCATTGGAATGACTATGAAGACTTGCCAGAAGAAGAACGACACGACTTCGTTTGTGAGAACAAGTTCAATACAGCAAGCTTCGGAGCTCTACAAGGCAACAACAAGCTGGGCTTGAGCACACCTCTCCCCAAGTTATACTGTACCGATCTAACTGAGACAGCGGTCCAGATATGATCTTGGCAACGATCGGGGAGCATTTGTATCTGGATTGCGAGGGCTATCATGTCCCTCATGCCGTGAGTACCTGACTGAAGAAGTCTCGCATGTTGCCGAGGATTCTCCGACTGCACCAGGGTCATCTAAGGGGTTTCTAATAGTCCCTAATTAAGGTTAAGAGGTGTTCATTAACCACGCCAGTAGCTATAACTGATCGAGTATGGTCTTGGAAGTCTAGGGCAAATATGGACCATTGTCCAATTCTGGGTTCTATTCTAGTTCGATAGCTGTTGATCATCTCTCCTAATTCATCTTTAAGCCAAGAAGGCTTTTGGTTGCCTCCAACCTGTTACTGAGATCCGGATCAGCAACAAGAAGGCCAAGTGCGAAGTGGTCGGCGACCAGGCACATCCGTTGTGCCACACGTTTTTAGGCACACGTGGGCCGGCCCAAGCGTTCACGGCCAGCAAATGTCGGGCTTGGCCAACTTGAACTGAACTCCTTTCCGTACCGTGGAAGGGTACAGTATATTTATATGGATCAAAATAGGGAGACCTCCCGAAGAACTCCTGGAAGCAGGAAGATTGACCAAAACCATCCAAAACCCATGTCGCCCTATTATCCCTATTGAAATACACCCTCAAATGTAACGGAACTCCCTTTAAGTCTTCAGCGGCTGAAGATCAAAATGGCTGAGGTGAGGTGTATAAAACAGTAAATTAATCTGCTTAGGTGCAGACTCCCCATTGCACAATAATGGCAACCAACCTCTTTGAGGCAAGTAGTTGTCCACGGAGTCATTCTTGTTCCACCTTCCCATGGGACTGGGACCTAACACTGTAACTTGAGGATGAGTATACGTAGCTAGGCGAAGTAGCTATGCTGCTCGGTCCCTGTCACTGGTCTCCGGTCCCCCACAACGGACACTCCGGACTGGACGGGCCGACCCGGGTCAGCTCAGCTCGTCCGTGGATCTTCGCCACGAACTGAAGATCCAAGTAAGTGGATCGGTGAACGGTCTGATTCTCCAGAAAACAAGACGGAGATGGGCATCTGCGTCGGACCTGAATTCTGGGGGGGTTGAAGCCTCGTTTCGCTTCGGATCCTGTTTGTGAGCGCATGGATCGGTTCTACTGAAGTGCAGGAAGTGCTCGGTTCACATCGACTACCGCCAAACCACATGGAACCACCCATGCTAAAACAGCAACAACACGAGCTTTTTTCAGACTGCATTGTTATTGAATACCACAGTCCCTGGAAGGCAATTACTATGTCTTGGGTCTGTCCTATTACCTGTAACAATCAGTAAACAATTATCACTATTCTTGAACAAGGCCTTCACTCACCATCATAATCATCATCCACTGTTACGGGCATTAGGATAGACCCAAATTATATACATAGAGCTCTAGCATAGCTTGTAGCTCCCCAGCGGGGTGAAAGGAATCGGAACCTGGCCACAGAAGGGTCTAGGTCGATCGGCCTCCGCATCGAACGATGCGAGTTGTCCCTGGATCCAATTTGTTGTGATATGGATCCAATTGTCCATGCAACCAATACCAAGTTTGACCTCAGAGATGCGAAAGCAGAAGGTGTAAATTCAACCAGATGCACCCAGGGACAACTTGACCCGCCAAAGGGCCAAACTACAAGGGACACATGGACGTGAAACTAACCATTCACCCCAAAGACGATAAACAGTCCAAGTACATATGGACAATGTGTCCATCCCTTTTGCAATGGTGTGTTTCCCCTCTCCCATGTCACTAGAATCACTACTGAGGGTATAATGCGTCCAACCAATCCCCAACACGCCATGTATGGAATATTTACCTTCATTAACATTTAAAAGGTACATACCTAGAACTTGAGTGACGTCTACTTTAGACCATCAACCACATAAAAGAATTGTATTTTCATATTTTTTCCTATCAAAACAGAGGAGGTCATCTCTGAGTTTGAGGTATATGCCATAAATGCCATACATGGCGCGCGTGTTTGTGGAAAGTGTGCCAGCTGCTTCCAAGGGGTTACCAATGGACCACCCTAAACTGCTTATAGGTCACCATTGGACACCCATTGGAAGCGCTAGGTGTGTGTGTGTGTGTTTATGTTTTAAACGGACATCACCAGGTGATCTTTGTCGACGGCCTCATGGGCGACCAATGACGACCACAGGCGACCGGGAGGATCCACGGCGAGGATCCAAGCGACCAGCGGTAGACGGGGACGGTCATAAGGTGACCAGTGTCGCCGAATCACACGTATACATCACCAACCGCATCATGACCGCATCTACTTCAGTTGGCCAGTTGGCAGATTGAAGGGATGTGTTGTGCAAAGGAGTTCAAGATGGCATGCATCTCTGGAGGGATTTGCTGCCATGTTGCTGGGCCGCTGACAAATACACTGACCATAAAAGACCATAGATTTGACCATGGTCAATAGAGCAGGTAGTTAGAAATTGCTGTTGCAATGAAGGTCTATGTTTCTCACGGTCGTTTGAGATGTTTAAGGGGAGCTGCAGACATAAGAGAAGAGGGTTTCCTGAAATGAAACGAGACCCAGGAGAAGAGACAGACTAGTCCACTTCTTGATCCTTTTGTCTCGCTGTGATTTTGAGACATACATTTCGCCATGGAAATCGCTGCCATTTCGGGCACAATTCTCACTGAGCTCAGTGAGGAGGATGTCCGTTGCATGGTGGAAGATGGAAGGACTGTTCGGGACTTGAAGAAGATCCTGACAGATCCGCTTGGACACTCGAGGTTCCGGCAACGACTCTTCAGTGAAGGGCTTGGCGAGTTGCAGGATCACATGCCTTTGGCACCTAGCCAGTCAGAGATTTGCAGTTTTGGTTCAGGATAGTCTGATAGTCTTTGGTTTTTGCATCACTATATATATATAGTATAAATACAGTAGTTGCAGTAGGGGCAAATTGTGATAGCCATACCATGCTATACCTCCATCTTGGACAAAACTTGAGGGACACAGAATGGCTCTTCAGGACACGTGGGAACGTGTGCAAGTGGTCATCCTCAACTTCTGTGCTGACGAGCTAACTGCAGAGGAGCTCCTTCGCATGTGCCACTTGCCAGACTTCCGATGGCGGCGAGTGTCCTCGGGGTGAAGCTGCCAGACATCACAGAAACAGACCAGAGTGAAAATAGTCCAACACCTGGGAGGAAACTTCCTAGCAGTTTTGTCCTCCCTCCCCACTTCTCAAAAGACCTGGTGTTTGACATGAATCACTTGACCCAAATTCCGCAAGCCAGCGGCGAACGTGTGGCCAAGGTGAAGAAGATCGTGTGGAGCAAGTGGAGCGGCTGCTGCAAAAGCCACAGGATCCGAATTGGAGCGGATCGACCGCAAACGCCAAAAGTGCACTTGCACTTCACCTTGCAGCTCAAAACGGCCATGTCGAAGTCCTGCAGTTGCTCCTGGAAGCTGGAGCGTATGTGAATGCATCAAAAGCAGAAGGAGCAACGGCTTTGCATCTTGCAGCCCGAAGTGGCCACCAGGAAGTTGTGCAGATTTTGCTTGAAGCTCGTGCTGACATAGATGCAGCAACTCAAGAAGGGGCCACGGCGTTGTATTGTGCAGCAGAGCGAGGCCGCTTGGAAGTTGTGCAGTTGCTCCTAGAGGTTGGAGCTCGAAAAGATGCTGCAAGTGAGGCAGGGGCAACGGCTTTGTATGTAGCAGCTTTGTTTGGCCACCTGGACATCTTGCGTTTGTTGCTAGAATCTGGAGCTGACAAGGATGTGGCAACTGAAGAAGGGAATGCTTTGTATGCAGCAGCTGAGCTGGGACACGTGGACGTGGTGCAGTTGTTGCTAGAAGCTGGGGCTGACAAAGATGCCGCAACCGACGAAGGGGCGACTGCTTTGTATGTTGCAGCTGGGCGTGGCCACCTGCCAGTTGTGCGTTTGTTGCTACAGGCTGGAGCTGACAAAGATGTGGGGACTCAAGAAGGAACGGCATTGCATTTTTCGGCTGAGGCTGGCCACGTGGACGTGGTGCAGCTGTTACTCGAATTTGGAGCAGACAAAGATGCGACCACCGAAGAGGGGTCAACTGCTTTGTATCTTGCAGCTTGCCGAGGCCTTGTGGAAGTAGTGCGTGTGTTGCTGGAAGCTGGAGCTGACAAAGATGTGGCTAGTGACCGAGGGATAACAGTAACGCCATTGTATGTTGCAGCAGAAGCAGGCCATGTGGAAGTTGTGCAGTTGTTGCTTGAATCTGGTTGTGACAAGAATGTGATTACCGAAGATGGGGCAACAGCTTTGTTTATTGCAGCTCTTCGAGGCCACTTGGAAGTTGTGCAGTTGCTGCTAGATGCGGGAGTTGACAAGGATGCCGTGACTGAGTATGGGGCATCAGCTTTGTCTATTGCAGCTGAGAGTGGCCACACGGACGTGGTGAATTTGCTGCGCGATGCTGGAGCTGCTGAGAATGCTGAAGCTTGAACATGCTCTCAGCTTGTGATGGGGTCTTGGATCTAGATGAATCTAGTTCTCTCCAACTAAAGATAGAAAGGTGAATACATGTCGTTATCATTGATCCTTCTGAACAAGAACTATGTCTGAGGCATGTTTTTTATAGGCTTTCTTGGAGCCGCCAGGAACCTTTGTTCGATGCAATGCAACGAACTTTTCATCATTTGCTGTCATTTGTTGGTTGGGGGGGTTGGAGCAACTTTGGAGCTGGGGGTGGAGGATTTCCCTTGACCAGACGAGCTTCCAGAGCGGTGATCCCAAGAAAACAAATGAACACCACTCCCATTCATTTGACATCACCATCAGATTGGCTGTGGATGTTCAAAGGTTGAGAATAGCCTACTTTTGTTTTACCATACCATACCCTCTAAGACATTCTAAGACCCTCTAAGACTATGGTATGGTTGAGAATATAAGAGATTTGGATCGCAAATGTCCTTCCTTGTCCCCCCGGGGAGTCTTCCAGGTCCCAGCCTTGGTGCTGGCCCCGGTGCCAATGCCCAGGCGAGAGGAGCCAACGCGGCGCTCCAAAGAAGAACACAGAATGGTGAAAAAAAGAACATCACAGAAGGGTGGCGTAGCAGGGGTGTTTGGTGAACAGGAGACATGAGAATTTGATAGCGTTTGGTGTTCCAAGTGACTAGTTGGGGGTTAATCCATGCTGATTCCAACCCATCAAGGCGGCTTCGACCAAACCAAGAGGTGGCGGGTATGGCGGTTCGGGGGAAAGCAACGCAAGTGAGCGATGGCCAAGACCTCCAAATGGATGGTATAAGTGGGGATTCTACTCATCCAGTACTCATGTGAACGGGCAGTAGCTCAGGTTTGTTTAAAGGTGGGACAGAGAAAACGACGGGCTCCCTCGTCCCTGGAAGGATTGCGCAGATGAATGGAAGGATTGAGGAGTTTCCCAGAGTTCATTGAGGGAACATCTACCAGAAACCCATGGTTTGGGGGAGAGTGAAAACATATGAAGATCAATCTTTCCTGTATAATTAGATGTTCCATGATGTTCCTTTAACACCAATTGATTGGGTATTTGGCAGAACCAACGCTCGGGCGGTGGTGGCCGGTTCGGTTCGGTTACCTCCCAGTTCCACCAACACGAGAGAGACTCGTCCCGGTTCGGGCATCGGATCTGATGGGACGAAGGCATAGGATCTTGCCTTGCTCCAACTTGTCCACTGTCACTGTTCATTCAAGTTTCTGACATTATGAGGTTAGTTCACTTTTCATTGGCATGGGAAAGATTTCATTTAAGTTTCTGAGGTTATGAGGATGAGAAAGAAGCCATGTGAAGCCATGAAAAGGAAGACATCTTCCAGCTGTAGGAAGTCTGCCTCGGGTTGACTGCCTTGGGAGTTTGGAAAGCATGGGGACGTTTCGTTTGACACTCCGCCAACGTCACACTCCAACGTCGCCAACGTCACACTCCACCGAGGTGGGACCGGACCCACCACCCACCTGATTGCATCCTGCATCAATCAGCTTAGCCTGGGTTTGCTTCGGGTGATGAGTTTTTTTTTTCCCCGAACGGGATCAATCCCCGAGTTTCCGGGGGATTCGAGTCTTTTCTATCCCAGGAACCCTGGACAGCAAATTAACCAAGAGCCACTTGCAACCAGTTCTGTTCTTCTCCAAGGTTAGTTGACTGCTGGTCGACCCTTTGGAAAACTCTGCAAAACACCTGAGATTCCCCATGAGGGGCGGTTTCATGTCGGTCGTTGCTCGCTGCAGCGTCTAGTGACACCATCAGAAGATCCGGCCGCGTAGCGGTGTTCAACAACGCAAAGGGCACAGCGGGCGAGGAGCAAGAGTACCTGCACACGGTTTGTGTCCTCGATTCACACATATGAACGATAGGTTATCTCCCAGCTCCCACGGCTCCCACCCAAGAGTCTTGCAGCAGTGTTTGGACCGCAGTGGATAATTACCTCAAGTTTCACGCCACACAAGCCACGCCAACGCGAGTTTGGTCGTGAATTCGCACCAAACTCAGCAAACTACACGATTTCACAGCCAGTGAACATGCAGTAAAGAGCAACATGAACTGAACCTGCTGGGAAGACAGAAGTACTGACTCCCTTTCTAATCTTTGTCTATTGACCATGGGGCACCATTTGGCCTTGACCTGTGAGACAAACGACTATGTGAGGCTTGCAGACCTTGACCTGGGCTTTCTTGTCTTGGATGTTCTTTTCCCTTAGGCCAGAGAGCTCAGGCACAGTACTCCACGCTGCGGACCTCTCCACGTACTGTGCGGCACTACGTACGTGTCACAACTCTTTTTTAAAGCAGACCAGTAGGGTCCCGCTGGTTTTGCGATGTCCATCACACTGGATGCTGAATGTTCTATCACTCAAGAAGGCGCGGAGCAGCGGGCACGGACCGGCACGGAGCGCCGCACGGGTGGGATTCTACGTGGGAAACCATCCAAGAGTGGTTCAGTGACCGTAAATAGGCCCTCAGTGAGGTACCTATGGGATAGTGGAACTAGGGTTCTTCAACTGGAGGGTGGAAGTGGATGGCATGGCCACTGGGAAGATTATGGAATGTGAGGAATGAGGGTGTTTATCAGACTGGTGCAACTCGAAGAATGAGGGCTCCAGACCCTCCACTGTACCTTCGGATTTCACCCCGTTTTAGCAACACTCAGTTTTACGCACGTGGAAGGGTTCGCAAAGGGGAAGTCAAGTGCGGAATCCCTCTGGGGCCACCCCCTCGAGGGGCAGCATGTCTGGACCTTTGCAGAAGATGTTTGACGTTTTCTTTTCCTCCAGTTTCATTATATAAGCAAATCCAAATCATTCCAAAACATGATAATTACCAGAGTTCTATCAATATGAGCATAGTTCACTCGAGCGCCCCAAGGATTGCATATATTTTTATAGTATCATATATTATATTTTATTTACATTTTGGCGTGAAGTCACATCAACGTTACGGTCTGACCTACTATACTGTGACGTCATTACTTTGGGGCGACGAGTTGTTTGGACGGTTCACCCACGCTCGGAACACCGTCTATATTGTTTGTTTTAGGTATCTCCATTGATCTCTTTAAATTTATCTCTATTATCTCTATATATATTTGTTCTTGAATGGTTCTTCACGTTCTTTCAGGTTTCATGACAGCCCTGAATCTCCTTTTTTCTTCTCCATCACAAGGGGTCTTCTCCACCTACATCTTTTTCACCTCCGCGTTCGTCAGGCGACGTGCTTTGTCTCATCGGCTCGGATGTGGCCTTGGGTGCCTGGGACGCGCAGAAGAGCATCCAGCCACTTGGGTAGATCAAGCGCTGCGTCCAGCCGGAACGAAGAAAAAGCACCGAAACAAAGGGTTCAACAGGGTGAAAACCAAAGGTAGAACGCTTCACCGAACTATCAAGGTTGGTTCGTAGTTGGCGGTTCTGTGTTCAGTTCGATGATGTTCGATGTGTTTGTTTGTTTTTGTCCGGGTGGGGAATTGGTGTGAGCCTGGATCATGTTGCAGAGGAAGATTAACAGTTCATGAAATTGCCATTTGTTCGCTGACATGTGTGGCATGTGATGATGTGATGTCCCTAGCTGGAGGAGAGTGGCTAGTGGCAGCCATGTGCGGGTTTTGAGTTTGTGGAGAGCAGGGCTTGATCATGACTGAACCTTCGTGTTTCCCATGACATCGACGTACGCAGATCAACCAAATATCACAAGCCAGAAATATCTGTCAAAATTGGACACCGCTTCATTTGGATCCTGACAGTGCAGTTTTCTTTCTAGTGATGTTTCCAGAGAAAGATCCCTATTGTAGAGACCTTCGGAACTCATGGCCGACAGCTGCTGTCAGCTGTCTTCGTGGACCGTGTGGCGGCCGCACCGAAGAATATGGGAGACCCCGCGAACCGGAGACCCCTCGATCGCCCTAATGGGTAGACTGGTCTATGTTTCTTCCAGGGGGTCGAAGTGGGGGTCTCCCTATTTCACTACACGACACCCATTTGTGTTGGTTTTTTCATACTAAACCAACCCAGCAAACCTTTGGGTGATGCTGTTCAAGATTCCCCAGACAAAAGCTTGGTCTTTCACTGATGTAGAGCTTCGTGGAATCATGATCACATCCGTTTCAGAGGGATGAAATGACTAACACTAGCTATGGATATATGGTGGATATTCGGTGGATTCATCCGATGTAGAGCTTCTGTATGGATCCATTGCCACCCTTTGAGGCACAGTAATGTGTTCGACACTTGCACCTTTGTTTGGAGGGTCCAAGTACCTGAGGTGAGGAGGTATGCGGATCAGGGTATAGCTGATTTGCCCAAAGGTTCTTGTTGGGGTGTTTGGTCCGACACAGGTCGGTGCCTCATCCATTCTCAGGTTGGAGACGAGCGCGAGCCTCTTCCCTAGGCAGCGAATTTGGACACGTGCGCGAAAGCGGAGCAAGTGTGCCCACGTGCCACCGTCGTGTGTTTTTCTCACCGGGAAACGGACCACCTGGCGCAGGTGCCAGAAAATGCAGCAGACCAAGGCAATACACGGCAAGTGCAGGGAGGTATATGGTTCGACCACATGGCGCCGAAGTTGCTGACTGGAGTTCTTCGTGAGTTTCAGTGTGAAGCAAATGGTGGACGAATTAACAAGGCCCCCAGTTGCCGAATGATGCTTGCACATGTCCTTGTGACAACCCCCGCATAGAGAAATCTAGTCGTAATGAATTCTCCCTGGCGAGGGAGGAGCTGGTCCAATCCTCCAATCAGCCTGAGTCTAATGCATGTGGTAGGTTCAATTTAGGAACACCACTGCTCATATCTGCAGGAACTCGAGGATGAGCTGCCGTCATCCTCACAATGTATATTTACAATGACAAACATAACATAACATAATATACAAAGATGCAACAATGACACAAAAAGGACAGAAGTAATATGAAGTAATTATGAAACGGCAACAAAAAGAAAGTTTCCCGCCTTCCTTGCCGGAGGGCCGGGCCAGCTTGAGACAATCGCCCCAATAGTTTAGGAGCCACGCTTCATACACTTCAAAGGAGATGAGTTCCATGGTGAAACCAAGCGTGAATTGTGTGCAAGACCCAGAGGGCAGAACAGACCTCACTTGGCATATCCTGTGTGGTCATGCCATGTGATGCCTAGCTTTCCTGAAATGGACCTCCAGCTCCGTTGTCGCCGAAGGTGTATTTGAGCATACTGCATAATACTGTTTTTTTTAAGCAGTAGACAC